GAAGAAAATATAGTATATGCCAGTATTATTTTTGAAGATTTCCTTACATTTCCATAACTTCATAAAAATATGTAATATTGAAATATAAAAATGATTTGTAAAATACATATTGCTTTATATTTTTGTTTTATCAATTCATAAGTTACTTGGGATTTATGCTCTGTATTGCTCTTTTTTATCATCTAGCTCGCGTGCTTATGCGGAAGCACAGCTTGTAGCTTCTGTTGTTCGCAATGTCCTTCATGCAGGAACAGCACGAGCACTCGTATTATGTATGCTCTGCTCTTGTTATTGGGAACTATTGCAGCCTGTATTACTCTGGCACCTGGTCTTCAAAGTGCTCTCAAAAAGGTAACATTGGAAACGATATGGAATAATTAGACTTACATTAACGTTGTGATTTTTAAAACAGGTTCCATTCTGTGCAAACAGTTCCAGTTATGTTCCATTTGACACTTTTGATTGTGAATCTGCAGTTGGTTATCTGGCAGTTTATAGAATATGTTTCATTCTCTCTTTATATTTTTTCTTGATGTCTGTAATAATGATCAGGGTGAAAAGTTCACAAGATCCACGGGCAGCCATACAGAATGGGTAAAATTAAAATATACATTAGAATGTTGCATCTAAGACTATGACTCATAATGTTTGCATAAAATTCTTAGATTTTGGGCAATCAAGTATCTTCTGATAATTGGAGGAATTATTGGTGCTTTCTTTATCCCAGAAGGATCATTTGGATCTACCTGGATGTACTTTGGGATGTTAGGAGGTTTCCTTTTTATAATTATTCAGTTAATTTTAATTGTTGACTTTGCACATTCTTGGGCTGATGCTTGGGTAGGAAATTATGAAGAGACCGAATCAAAAGGATGGTAAAAATTCTTATAGTAATATAAATTTGTATCCACGACACAAATATTTTTTTAAATAATATACAAAACCATTTTAGGTATGCCGCATTACTAGGTGCAACTTTCTTTAATTATGCCATTTCTATTACTGGAGTGGCGTTACTTTATGTATATTATACATATGTAAGATTATGTTAATTACATTTTTTTTGTTTGAAAACAATAATCCACTTTAAGATACAGTATATAATTACTTATTTATTTTGTATTTACAGCAAGATACGTGCGCTCTGAACAAATTTTTCATTTCATTTAATTTGATTCTATGTGTTATCACTAGTATTGTGTCAATTTTACCAATTGTACAAGAACATCAACCACGATCTGGACTTCTTCAGTCCTCTGTGGTAATGTTATATGTAATATATTTAACATGGAGCGGTATATCAAACAGTCCAGGTAAATATCGGTGATTCAAAACATTAAATTATTATATGATCCATATTTTATTCCAAGATTGTTACTATTTGTTACTATTTTAATTTACAGAGCGTCAGTGTAAACCTGGTCCTGTTTTTCCGAGTAATGATATCAATACACAAAATCGTGTCACTTTTGACAAAGAAAGCATTATTGGACTTATAATATGGTTTAGCTGCGTTTTGTATAGCTCCTTACGTACAGCTTCCAAATCGTCAAAGATTACAATGTCCGAAAATGTATTAGTTCAGGATAATGGAGCTGGTAAATATTAGTTGAATGTTTGTGTATGTGTTTTAGTAACTATATCTGTGAAAGTGTGTTATTCCTTTTAAAAATTTTGACTGTTGTGTAAAGAATTTTTTTGAATGCACTTATACTTGTATTTATTGTCTTTCTACTTTATTTCGTTCTATAAAATTCTATTAAATACTATTTTTCTATAGTTAGGAATGTGGGAGAGCAGTCACTTATCGGCAATGAAGGTAGGCACACACTATCTTAACCCTAAGTTGAATTCATTTTCTAATCATAAATCTTGATTTTATTTTTACATTCCTATGTTTAAAAATATATACTCATATATTTATATATTTGCACAAAAGTTATTGAATGCTTTAGGCAATAGATAATAGAAAATTATTTCTATTATGTTATTTCTATTTTACATTTATAATTATATAATATAAAATAACTTGATTTTTTGCTTAGCAATTAGTGTGTGTTTACCTTTATTTTCTTGCTTTATTTGTTATTACAAACGTTATGATTTCTGTATATATTTTGCAACATGCTGTCAGAAACATATTTATGAAAATAGTGCTTGCCTAGTATTTTTATTTGCTTTTAGTAGCTTTTTTTTTATGTTATTTCTCGTTTTCCAAAATGTAACCAGATTATACTACAGTAGAAGGACGCAATCATGATGCAGAAGGTGGAAATGATGCCAAAGTTTGGGATAATGAAGAAGAAAAAGTAGCGTATAATTGGAGTTTCTTCCATCTTATGTTTGCTCTTGCTACTTTATATGTTATGATGACTCTTACGAACTGGTATGAGTACGTATCCATGATATTATAATATTTAATTAAATTATTGTAATATGCATCACAATACCGTTACATTAATATTTTAATAGACCAAACTCCAATCTGATAACTTTAAATGCAAATACTGCTTCAATGTGGGTAAAGATTATTTCTTCTTGGATGTGTTTGGGTCTTTATGTGTGGTCATTAGTAGCACCTGCCATTTTCCCAAATAGAGATTTCTCTTAAATCTCTGGATTTATTGTAAGCCAGATCTATAAAACAGGTATTTATTATTCGTTGTCAACATAGTGCTACAATAAGTGATAAACAAGTATTTCTGTTTTAATGTAATTTTAAAATCTTATGTTACAGACATTTCTCTGCTTCTAACATTGAAATGCTAATTATGATTATATTTAAACCAAATAATATGCAATATGAAATATTGCATATTAAGATATATATTGATATATTACCTAAGAAGTAGACGCAAATTTGCTTCCTCAACGATTATGTATTTAATATAAATATGTGCAGAATATGTCGCATGTAACTTTAATTACTAAACTTCTATTAACTAACTCATAGCATATGCAAGATTTAACTATCAGTTTAATTGTGTGCTTTGTTATGGGGAACTAACTAGTTTTATTGTTATCACATGCTTTATAAGCTATAAAAATCAATTCTATTAATGTCATATGTATAATTATATATGTATAAAATTATACGGTATATAAAAGTATGATAGGGAAATTACATATTTATATCTCTAATAAGAAATTTATATGGTTATTTAAAAAATTATTTCAGCATCTTATTCAACTTTTGTATCATGCTATATGTCGCATGTACTCAAATAATATTGCTGTACCACTGATGCATTTATAACTAGTTTATAATTGATAATTGACGCATAAATATGCGTTATTGCAATTTATATTAATTGCATATATACATATATGTATTCCTATTCCTATCACATCTGACTCTATTGATATAATATGACATAATTGAATACATTCATGATGGTGCTACTTACTAAAAATTATAGCGTGTGTTTAGAAATTATTTTTTTCAGAGGATGATTACAAGAATATTTTATTTATTAGCACATGTATTTCATTCACTTTTAATTGATTCTTTCTTTCAATTATTGTTTTATGCTTTTATTTTCAGCTAAAACAGCCTCAGTTTAGAGCTTTCTTGTAATATCATCCGCCTATTACAAAACGTACGTAATTACTACTATAAAAGAAGTTAATGAGAACTGATCTTGTGAATGAGTACTATTAAGATTGTAGGATTAGATAACTATATGTGATAATTTTTTGCAATTCTTTGATACAGAAAAAGTTATTCTTTGAAGTAACTTTTGTGAAGTGTTTACATAATTATGAGTCTAGCAAAAACTTGTTTCTTTTTAACATTTTAAACGATATAAGATATTTCTTTCTGTGCTTGTATATTTACATTTCAACTTAATGAAACAAAAATATATATGTAGGCATACTCCACTTCTATATAACTATGTAAATACACTTACATTGTCATAATTATTATGAGCTACTATAAGGCAGCTTTATATATCATTTATTTTAATGTTGTTTGCATTTTTTGTATGAAAAAATGTAATTATATATTATTGTGTATATGGCAAAATTAAATTTTTTTCAGTCCATTAGAACAATAAATTTTAATTTCTTAAGTTTTATCTGTATCTATGTATTTATGTATATTGTTGTGATACATGAATTTAAATATTCTTATTATTCCTTATGATATGCTTTGCGTGATAATCGAGAATTGTATTCAAGAAAGATTATATGTAAACTGTATTTCTTGAACAATATATGTAATACATAAAAGTAAAGAACAAAATAAATTATGTAAAAAGCATATTTTATGTAATTAATTAATAATAATTACTAGTGCCTAACATTTCCAGGATGATTTCTTATTTCTATTAAAAAAACATTTGTACACAAAACAATTAACATTATGTTTTTTAATTTATAAATTGATATATGAAAAAATAATTTGGTTATAGTAAAGATATATATTAGATGTATATTATAATTTTTATTTTTATTTGCTGTATTTATTTTATTCGCTTTTGTTGCTTTTAACGCATTTTATTGATATAAAAGTATTACTTCTTTATCATCGATTTTTTAAATATTATTTTTTATTAACAGTAAGTATTTACTATATTTTTATTATTTATATAAGGAGACAAAAATTGAGCATGTGATGTCGATTTACGCATCATGAATTATATAATTAAAAAGTAATATTTTTTGTTAAATTTGTTAATTGTATAAAGATTAATAATAAACTAATACTTTTAATATTTTAATATTTTATTATATTTAAAAATCTATGTAAAAGGAAGTGATATATGTTTAATCACATAATGCGGTGGAGGGATATTCATGAAAAAAGGAAAGAGATTTTTTTTATAAATACATTTCATTTGTATGCAATCTATTAGTTGCTTTTCTACATAAAAATGTTTTAGTTAATTTTTACAAAATAATTTCTCAATTTCTTCTTTTTAATATTTCACATTCTAGATTGTAATTTAGCTATACATTATACATTAATTATTACAAATTTAATTTAAAGAACGCTATGTACAGAATTATGTAAACTATATAAACTATTGCATCTATGTATAAAATATTTGGTCAAAATCATTAAAATTGAAACAAAATCATTCAACTTTGGATGATTTTGTTATGTCTTTTTTCGATGTTGGTTTCTTCAATATATAATTTTTTATATTCTGGAAGGGCGAATCGAACAGCAGTGTGAGAACTATAGACATGAAAAGAATCCATATTATCTCTTTCAGATTTATCTGAAACAAATTACAGATATTTTAATAACCAATATTGCATTTAATAAAACATTTCACCTTTCAAAGCTGAATAAAATGAAAGAAATATTATATTTATTTTGAATTTAATTCTGCTATTTTATTTGAATTTGTTTAAATTATATTATTACATAATATAATTATATTATTTGATATATATTTAATATAATCAAAAGACTGTAAAAAATAAAAGAGAAAGAATATAAGTTTTATAAGAAAAATTCATTTATTAACAAAATTATCAAATATCAAAGAAAAAAATTTAAAAAAGAAAGTAAGTAAAATAAAATACATTTTAGTCGAATAAAAATCCGAATAAAACAGCAGTTTCAAGAGCAAGTCGAGTTTCAGAGCAAGTTTTTCAGTTTACCATTATCCTGAAAAATTCATAGTGTTCTGCGGTGCGGGTTTGGCCAACATTGTAGAAATATATTGGGAATTGCGTTAAATATACGGCATAACTGATCCTCGTGGTAACGAGAAATCCTCGCCAAGAAGCTATTCTATTCAGAATTCCTGCGATTTGTGAAAGTGACAGACGTTATTCAGATAATTATCACTTTTGTATGTATTGCCAATTTTGCAATTTCAACGCGTAATTACCATTTGAACTGCCGGTGTGCTGCGTTATCGCCATCCAAAGGAACAGGCCGCACCACCCGATGGGAGCGAAAGCGTTGTAAATAGCTGCGTGAATCGGATTGTACACGTAATCGATGGAACCCATTTTAGAGGGTCCGATGAAAGCTGTCAAAAACATCAGGCTGCTCACGGTCCAGCCTGTGTAGAGGGCTGTCTGAAAACATTGAAAATTAGCATATTCATCACAAGTGTCGTATACCACACATAAACAATTGACGTAATACCACTCACTATGCTTAGCTTGAAATCCTTGGGTATATTCCGTAGCAAGTAACCCACGAAGATACCGATAATGTAAACAGTCAGTCTATGCGATGGTAGCGTGTAGGAGAAATCGGCGGTGTCGAATAATTGTCTTATCCTGGCGTAAGAACGAGATGTGCGTAAATAAAATTTATCGAAATCGACCTCTTCTTGATGTAACATTATGGCGCAATATTGATTTAACACTAGAAATATATAAGACAGGACATATTTGATTGTGGCTGGATCTTGATAATGGTCTAATAACAATTCTTTGAATTTATATTGAATATAATCACATAAAATTATATAAAAAATTATATAATTATATTATATAAATATTCATAAATATATTTATGGATTCAAAAAATAATTATTAATAATTAGATACCAAGATTCTGCCGTAACCGAACCGAATGCCGTGTCTTGTATGTTTCTAATATTAACGCGGTTTGTCGGTGTTGATAAAGGTTTAAATATTAATTTACTTACGACGTGCCATAGTACACATAATTATTAAGATCTTTGGTGTAGGTGACATAGAATCTCAATATTGTAGATATCGAGGCTATTATACCGAGTACAATAGCGCCGATCTTTGGTGACTTGTACAAGAGCAACACCATCAGGGGCGAAATCGCGAACAATTGCGTGTCTATTCCCACATGATGCGTGTGCGTAAGACACTGAAAGTAAAAAAAAAAAATGAATTATCATTTGATATATGAGCGGACTGAAAGTCATAGAAAGTCGAGAAGACATTACTAATTTTTTTAAAAGATGTTCCCTCTCATTTTTTTAAAATTTTATCTTTAGATCGTTTGCACGCTTTGGGAAAGTCCCTTTTATCTTTAACGATTATTTTGTATATTCGATATTTTTCAACTTACCATATTTTCGAATCCGAAATAATTGTGAATAAATAAGAAATTCCGCCACCACGTTCTCTTGCAGATTTCCGCGTGATTGTCCACTACCAGCGGCCACTGCGGTCCGGATCCGATGTACGGCATAATGTAAGTACAAAACAATATCAATGCTCCTAGAGTTGGCACTAGCCTGAAATCGAACGCATAGTTTATAGTTTTCTATTTTTTTTTTTTTCCATTTATCGGATTAGGACGCACATCAATACCTTAATAAACGCGATAAGTATTCGTTCTTAATGTCTAAAGTTCCGTTCCTCTTTAATCTGCCTACGAACGAGTAAGTCGTTAACAGGCCAGATAACATGATGAACGGATCGGTGTAAAGACTAGCCGCTCTTCCTATGACGGTCCATGGTTTACCTAAAAACTATGTTAAAAAATTATTTTTAGATTAAAAATTATTTTAATTGTTTAAAATTCTTTTTATGTTATTACGTTATTTTTAAATAATATATATATTTATGATGAAATACGACAATAATTAGAACATTATAGATAAATTCATGAAATCAAAATGTAAGATTCGTAAAATAATTATTTTACATTAAACGTGTATATTTCACTTATATTCTCATAATTATATGAAAAGAACACTATTGCTGCGGTATTTCAAAATTTGATCAGATACATATCTGAAAATAATTTTATATTATCGAAATAATTATGTAAGGTATTCAAATGAATTGCTAAGATATAAAAAATTTTTGCAGTATTATCATCATGCTTAAACTTTCTACATAATTATTTTGATAATTCAACACAAATATTTGTAGATCTGTATCTGGTTAAATACTTCGACAATACTTCAAAGTTGTTCTTTCCGTGTAGATGATATTTAGATTAGAGCTTGTGAATCTATGTGAAACATGTAATATATCGGATATCTTTTCGAATTTGCGGTTCACTTATATCCTAAAATCACTGAATAAAAGTGGCACATTGAAAATGGATAATTAATAATTACCTCGCTCATGTATGTCCGGTTCATGTAAGGAATAAAGAATATCGCCATGCTCTTGTGAGCTGTGAGCAGTAGAGCGCTGTTCAAAAATCGGATACCATGAAGCACCGCTATGTCGCCTTGTGGCCTCTCCAAGGAGAAAAGTTTCAGAACGTTGCGCTTCAAAGAGAACGATAAAAGCAATTCGCTGGCCGGTATTTCGCAATGATCGTAGTACGCGGCTACGAGAGTCAATACGAACACGGTAATGAAAAGCAGACTGGAAAAGATAAGACAGCAGACATGAAAATTATTGAATTAATCCAAAATAAAATATTGTTTATTTCGTCTTTTTGTTTTAGCACATTTATGCCCGATTCCTCCAAATAGATTTACTTTAATTTCGGTTTAACTTGCTCTTTATCTTTTTCTAATTCTAATTAGATCTAGAAAAAGATGAAGGATTGAAGTTGAACTGAGATTAAAGTTAATCTACGTTTGGTCGTCAATCAGGTATTAAGAACTTAATTTAACAAATTCTGTAGTAAACGATTGACTTGAAAATAAATCAGTAGCGTTCTAAAGAAACAATAGAGATTTATCGCGATGTCTAGCAATTTTAACTTATGCAATTTTCAATACGACATAATGCGATATGGTATGATTTGAACAAATATATATTATTACCTAGTGACGATGGTTGCTTTTGACAGAACGTTAACGTACTCCTTTTTTACTTGGCACATATTTTGATCCACTTGCAGTGAAATTTTGAGACCAGTTTGAGCTGTGTATTTCGAGATTGCATGTTGAAGAGAAGCCTTCACATCTTGGGCTGTACACGATGCGGGTGTACATATAGCCCAATTCACGCTGCTAAAACGCGGCACTCTGTGACCGGGCTGGAAATAAAAGCGGATAATCTTACGTTACATAATTTTGCATTAAAATTGTTGGCTAGTAAAAAATAAGTGTCATATTATATTTATGCCAAATATTGTTGAATAAACTACTCAACGAATGACAAAAACCTCGTAAATAGAAATTGACAAATTATATACTTGGAAATTACCATAGCGCTCTCTATGCCATAAAATTATTTCTATTATGTAAGGTTTTGCCTGTTTTACTTATTTTTTTTTTATAATTTCTCATACAAGAATGCATTTGTAAGCACCTGTAAAGAATTGCCATTACACACACACACACACACACACACACACACACACACACACACATATTCGCTTCGATAAATATTTATAACGTATTGAAAAAAAATGTAAAATCTCGAAAATATTATTTAAGGAAACATTGGGGAAACTCACCGTTTATTATCCCGATTATGCATAATTGACAGGATAATAGGATGTTTTTTTTTCTTTTTTTCTAAGAAGATCTTCCACGAGATCTTTCATAAGTGACCCTCGCGGCGACAAGAATTTTAATATACTCGTCGCTCAGGTGCTTTTGAGAGTACGTTTACGGAAGTCTATTAAAAGCATTTGATTGTGCGAGGTATGAATAAAGAAGACGCAGACGTTTTATAAATCATATCTCCAGGATTCCCGCGAAGGCGGAACGAGTAATTCAAAATGCAATTGACGTTTGGCGAGTCAAGCTACGATAATTAATGTTCTTGGATCTCGCCGTGCGACGTTAACGATACCGAAATAACAGACATTAGCATCAATCCGATATGCAACATTACGACAGATGATTGTTCTAACCAGTTACGCATACAAGTATGTGATTATCTGTTATTATTATATAATCAGATTGTCGATATCTAAGCAAAAAGAATTTCCTGTATGCTTCATCAATCCACATTCTTGTGTGATTCATTTTTATTTAAAAACCTCAAGAATGCTGTTTTTCTTTTTTTATCACAACTATATTTAATTATAATGTTAAAAGAGAAATCATGCAATTTTTTTATTTTCCATCATACGCTGAAATTAATTTCTTTTCATAGATATAAAAAAAATGACCGTTACGTGTATAAGATGATAGTAAATTAATTTTTATTGGATCTGATTATCTCAACAAATATGATAATTAACGTTGATGAGGTTTTTACGACATGTATTCAAATTTTTCGGAGCCATAGAAATTTCTCATTTCTAAACTCTAATCTAACTCTAATCTCCCGGTGGTCAGCGAGATTTGTAAGTATATTTTCGAGTAACTGTTTTTTTACGCAGTTCTCCGTTTTGTTCTGTTAAAATTCATCCTGTGTCGCGCGTCTTCATCGCGATCGCTCGCCGAGCATCTTTTATTCGTCGACATCCGGCCGCTGATGTCTTCTACTTTGTCGATTTACATAAATTTCGCGGCGCGATTCACGTGTCCATTACATATTCATTAGGGGATTAAACATACGCAGCAAAGGATGATCTGTCGAATCGTTAAAATGCCGGGAACATAACGCTCGCGGGGGGAAATAACCGAATACGGAAATAAATTTTTCACTCAAAAATTCAGATTCTCCGAATCATTACAGTTAACTTTATCGCGCGTGAACATCATTGACGTCATTTTTATCATCCAACACGATTCGTATTTCTACAAGATATCTTCGCGAAATACCGAAAGATACGTGTTGCCTATATTATCGTAATCTCGAGAGTCAGCGGAGACTGACGAATGACGAATCAATTTTAGGCGATTCGCTCGCGCGGTTTTGATATTCTACGTGCCGAAGCGGCCCGATCGTTCTCACCGCAAACGTGAGATATCGCGATAAGGAACCTGTGATTGATTGCGAAACGATCGATCACGCCGGTTCGCTCGTCCCGGCGCATCGGAGGGAGAATGCACATTATACACACTCACGTCGGTCATGTTACTGCGAAACGCGTAATGCGAATGCAGCAGGCGATGCAGATACTTGAGGTCCGGCCGGGACTGGTCGACGTCCAGCTGCAAGTACGCTAGACAATACTGTCCCCGAATGCCATCCTTGCCCTCGACACCGACGCACTCGTCGAAATCGCCGAATTGATTAACATTCCCGCTGAGCAGGCCGGAAGGCACCTTCGCGGTCGCGTCGTACACTAAAAAGCGTTAAAAGCGATCAATATTGCGAAAATAGAAAGGCGGGACCTTTCCTCTCCCTCCCCCTCCCCCCGACGTCCTCCTTCTCACGAGGACGATACTCCTTACTGTGTTCGTCGTAGATGTTGGGCAAAGCTCTCAATGACAAATTTTTTCGACCGACGACTATTTTCGGCAGACGCTGTAATATAATAATTAAAAAAAAAAAAAAAAAATGCGTGTGCACATGCACAGCGAATTCGGAACAAGGGAGAGGGAAAGGAGAGAAATTGGCAATGATTGTTATCTTGTCAAGCGTAACCGTTGCTAAACCCCTCGTGTCGCGGAATACGGAATAGCGTGCTGCATTAATGTTCGTCGGCAAATAAAACATTCGGTGCGATCGTTCGGGCCCGCTTATGAAAGATCATTAGGTACAAATTCGTCCGTCAATTATTCCCAATTATTTTCGAATTCGACGATCGTGGTACACGTGGTATTTCTTTCCCCCGCGATCATTTCGAGGAATTTCTCGAAACGATAAGCTCCTCCCGTCGTAATTACCGTCGCGATAATTTGATCTCAGATTACTCGGCGCTATCTTTAACTGACCTTAGACTCGCCCTTCCGAATGTACCTATCGGTGGCCGACTTACTTTTCAATGCCCATAGCGTGAATTTCGCGAGCTCCTCGTGAAAGATATCGGCGTGTCGTTTGCATTCCGCGCTGACGCCCCCCGCGCCGGGGTCGTACGGCGGGAGAAATTGCAATAATCTGCGTGCCTCGAGGTTGATCTTCTCGGGGAAGTCATCTGGAAAAGAAAAGAAAGTGAAAATCCTTTTAATGCCCGCCGGGTATTCGGGAAGATCTCGGATATTCGCGCGTCAAGGGAGAGTTTATCCTTGGACACGCGCGAGAGCGGAGAAAATTTGCGAAGGCCTCTCCCCGCCCCTCTTTATCGCGAATTGGCACATCGCCGTGGGATTCACGTAAATCGCATGAGACCGGTTACGTGCCTCGTGTTCAAACACGAGCGAGGTATTTTATCGACGTTAAGCCACGCTTGCCTGACATTGACATGATAATGCGGGAGAGTTATTAAGATACCTTAAGATATCCCGGCGTGCTCGTTTCGGCTTTGCGAACCGTGACGCAATCTCCGATCAAAAGTGACATTTTTGACTAAGGTCGACTAGGCACACTAGAGTCACTCGATATAATCCCGATCGATGTTGCATGTTGAAAACGCCGCCTATATTTGAAACGCGACTGTCGCGCAATGCTGAATCGCTGACGCAGATTGGATTGATTTTTCAATACGACCTTTCCCTCGTCCCTCTTCCTCCGTCCGATTCCTCTTTCTCTTTCCCTCATACAAGTGAAACAATTAACCTTCGTTTCGCGAGATAGAACTTTTACGATAAATTGAATTGAAAGTTAACCTTGTAAACGAGCTGAGATGAGATCGACAAAATTGAGGAATATCTAAGGTCGTTGATCCGTATCGAATGATATTGCAATTTATTATAAAATTATGAAAAAGGTCAATGTACAAATTTGATCTTGAGAATGGGTTCCCAGCCTAACATTGAACCGGTATTATGCATAATTAATTAGCTCGAAAAGGTAGTCGTAAAAATTTAACTTGCGAATTATATTATATAATCTATAATAGAATCACCAATTGGATTTTTAGCGAATCATAAAACCGTCTATTCTGCCGTTGCGCAAGAGAGATAAAAGAACATTATACATTATTCATTATGTAATTTTAGGTAATAAATTATTCGAATTTTTTTATATATATTTATTTAGATATAGCTGTAGTCATTTCTAATATTAATTCTAATGTTATTCTTCGTGTTTTTTTTTCTCTCTAAAAATAGATCCTCTTCTTAGATAATTAACAAATGATATGGACGTCTTTGTTTCAGCTTTAACAACTTTGCGAACGATGTATTTGTAACTATTATAACTCCTAATTACAACATTTTTTTCAAATATATCATGAAATATAAAGAATAATTAATAAAAATCTGTTAAATTAATGACGTAATTTTGTTGTAAGGTGCTCATTTCGTTACTAAACTCAGAATAAATCATGTTTCAAAAGCGAAAAAGTGCTCAATTACACAGAAAATGACAACATGATGTTGCATAATTATTATAGTTGTATCATAGGTAAATAAATTACTTGTATCATATCATAGGTAAATTCTATACATTAATTAAGTACTTAAATATACCAATTAACTTAATATCTTAACGATATAGTCTGCATTTCTAGTTCTTCGAATATAGTACGTTATTATAACTATTAGTCATAGCGCCCTGTGGGCGAAATGGAGCTTAAAATATATTTGAGCCATCCACATCGCTGGTCATTTCGATGGCGACGGATAATCGACCTGGTTTCCATTGTTTCAGGGCACGACGATTTTCTCGCGGTAACGTGAGGCAATCGAAAAATGGAGCCGGACGTCCACAGAGAGTTCGACGTCGATGTTGAAACCGGGACGGCGGTCTCCGCGCGAACGGAATCACTTAGCGTCGCGGTTTGTTTGCTCGATCGGTTGTAGCAATCGTATAAAATATGACACGCGTGGTGTGGGCAAAACGAGCGATTTGTACACGTCGTTATTACTTTGCTTACAAGCGATCCTCGCGCGTTTTGCACTTTGCGTTTAACACCGTTCGCTATCAGGGTCACAGATTTGATTTGCCTTCGGCACAGCCCACGCTACATTATTTTTAACAGTTTTTATTCGCTGTAATAATGCATATGATAATTATGCATATGTAGAATAAATTAAAAAAGTCATTTGAGTGTTCTAAATAACGATATTATATATTCTGTACTTTTTCCTGTATCATTCTACCATTTTCATTTTATATTATAAATAATAATTCTAAGACTGATATTTTCATAGATTCTCTCAGTTAATAAGTTAGTTGATAAATATTTAACTATTTAAGCGGGCTACTATTTGTAGAAATATAATCGAAAAATGCCAAGCAATGCGATCATGTTGTTTTTGTGCATCTTCATTAATTTTTTTAAGAATACTTAAGAAGAATCTTACTAAGAATATTTATTATAAGATTACAAAATAAAAGTTTCAGTTGATCCGTTAAATCCGTTTTGAGTTATAACGCTAATGGTGCATTGCGATAGAATTCGTTAGTTAAGCTTATCAAATTGCCGTCGTAAAGCGTCATAAATAGTCAACAGGAACAGCAAGATCGCGCTGCTTGCACCATTCGAACGATTAAGATTATCTCGAGTACAATGTCATAAAGCAGTCGAAGAGTTCCATTAGCATTTTAAGAAAATTTTTGAAGTAAGAATTACGAAGTAAGAATTACTACCAGCTTAAATCACACACAAGTATGCTAGTCTCATAAAAGATGGAAGGATGCATCACCTGATTCTAGAGAAAGTTCTACACGTGTAATTTTCTCCGAATTTTCTCGTGGGTTACACTTGAATTTGACGTGGGTCGTCGTAACATAATGGCGCAATTGACGCAAGCGGCCGATTACGCAAGGCCGAATTAGGCGTACGTTTTTTTAACTCTATTCTTAAGTCGCCGACCATACGGTCTGGCTTCATCGCGGCCTGACAAGGCAATCCTACGACACGGACACAAAACGCGCTTGTAATTAGAGCGCTCTTAAATAGAGGTCTTGTTTCGTATACGCAAGCACAAAATCCCATTACGAAATCACGATAATGATCGGCGATGTTAATCTATCGTGATAAATATCGTTACATCTCTCGGTGCGATTTACGACGTCTCGTTGTGTGGACAATTAATACACGGACAAGGAGGAGGCTTTATATCTTCATTAGCTTCTCATCAAACACGCTCATTGCCAGCCATTGGCGTTGGTTTTATTTATTTCTAAAAGACGACTAGGACGTAATAAATTAATAATTTATTCGCACCTTGGAAAAAATCGTCTGTTTTTTTTCATAGTTCATCAATTCGATTCTTATCCTGTTTTCTCATGACCAAAATAGCAACGACCAAAATAATTGCTCACTGAAAAATTATGTTTAAATTATTGTACCCTGTACAAATAAATAATATATCAAAATTTATCGTGTCCCGGATGAATTATTCATTATCAAAGGATACCATATGATATTTTTTTTAACGACTCATCACTAATCAAAGAATTGCCTTTACATTATTACGATTGAATTACAAATTTATTACAAGGTATTTAAAACAGTGAGTAAAACAGTCGTATCAACTCTAAACATCGTGTTTGATGCCGCGGAATGTTCATAAGATCAACATTACATTGCGAAATATTATGTGGACATTGGACAAGTCCCCCCTTTCTCCTCTTAATCGTATTGCAAATATACATTTTTTATACGGATGCGTCCTTGTTTATTCATTATACACAGTTTCGTACTTTGGACGTGCAATAAGCGAAACATTCCACCGAATCCGTCAACGATGCGTTATGGCAAGGACCTTCCGTCGAAAGCGACGAAAAAGAATCAAGACGTTTTGCCTTACACACATTCCTTATTTCGTTTCACATCAACGTAACACATCGCACAAGATTCAGCGGAATGCTTGCTACACATACAATTATATACCTAAAGTAATTAATTAATTAATTAATCATGTTGGCTTATCTTTCGTCTTATTGCCTCAGATATTAAAACACTAGGAAACTAGTTGTGTAGAATCTTGATATTTTCGCAAAATGTTCCATTTAAATTAAAACTCGGTTCTATCAGTTTTTATTATTTCCACATTATTTTAAATCTATCATAATCAAAAACTTTTGTTTTTTTTTTAATGTACTTAAAACTGAATTTACGTCATGTTTGTCTATTATTTTCGATGAAAGTAACAGTTGTTTTCATCTTAGCAGAAATAATGATTAGACGCGGCTCGTCAAATAATTACAAATTTGTATAAACTTTGAAATGGGATATTAAGGACTTTTAAATTATAGGTGAAAGCGGAAATAAATTACATTACCTTAATTTTCTGAAGTATCATCCTAGTATCATCAATAAAATAGAATTATGTGCCGAATATAAATTTTAATTATAGTTGACCTTTATAGAAGACCTTGATTTAACGAGCTGACCCTTCTCTCATGAATTTACACATATCTTCGAGTTTATTAAACCAGTCTGGAGGTCAAGTTTCTCAACAGGAAGCTTCCGCTAAATCGCTCCAGTGATGTGAATTCGCAAGAGTTATATTGTATTTATCAAGACTATTAACGCACGTGTAACAAATTCAATATGAAAGGAATAGAAGGCAAAGAAGTGGGTAGGAATCAAGTCAAATGAAGGTAGATATAATGTGTAGTTTAATCAAGTGGGTATAATAACAAATTCAATATGAAGGAAATAGAAAGGAAATTCAATGTGAAAATGTGAAAAGAATAGAAGGCGAGAAATGGGCAGGATTCAAATTTAATGGAAATCGGAGTTGAATTTTCTGAAACAGTCATCGTACGACATTATTAACGGGCAACTGAAATCTTTTGTAATATCGTTACAAATATGGCGATAGTGACCCTGAACCATCGAACGTTACCGCATTCCCGACCTTCCTTCGGTCCACCGGCAATCCACATGCATTGCGTAATGCAGCATGCGATAATATTTACTTTCCGTTTATAAAGGAGTCGCCAGTAATGATAGCGGCAATCCGGGACGAAATTTGACGTCTCGATTAATGACATGTAATTAATGACATAGCGAGCAGCCGCATGTACAAAGTCCAATCGCGTGACGAAACGTTGATTTCTTTTTTATTGCACTTGTGACAGTGGCCTTTCTCAGAATCTTTTTTTTCAATTCTGTAATAATTAACAAGTTGGGACACGTCTCATTGCTCAGAGTGCATTCTTGCTACTCTCTCGACGAGAGAAAAACCAATCTAGAAAGCGCCTTTTGAACCGATGAATTAATGAATTATAGATACAGCCGGATTCGAATTTTTTTTTATTATATCGGTTGCACTTAGAACTATAGAGTAGATATCAAGATAAATTGCATTCTCCGGCCAAAAGAAATAAAAAGATAAGAGGGATCTAATAAATGTCAAGGTAATGTTAAATGGTGACATTTATAAACTGGTTCTTTGACAGTTTTAGATTAATAAACATCTGCTTAAGAATTATGCCGAAATCTGATCCTGATCTAATACTCCCTAAATATATTTTGCAAGAGATTTACTAAATCTTCAAGATATCAAAATCTATCTTTTTATGTTCTATATATTACAAATTTCTTTTTAAGATTTTTTTGTACAGTTAAACATACATAAATATGTCTTCAAAAGAGATTCTTGATTCCATTTATCGATATGTTTTGTTTTGCAATGTTTAGATGAACTTTGTTAGAATAAAAAATAGAATTGCAACATTCATTTATGCGATATTTATATGATTAACGTGTAAGTCACACTTCTAATCTGTGAAGCGTAAATACGGCCGAGAAGATTTTCCATCTCAAAATCTGTCTTTTTATGTTCCATATATTATAAATTTCTTTTTAAGATTTTTTTTGTACGGCTAAATATACGCATAATTATAATAAATATGTCTTTGAAAGAGATTCTTGATATTTATCGATATGGTTTGCCTTGCAATGTCTAAATGAACTTTGTTAGATGCAAGAAACAGAGTTGCAACATTCAATTATGCGATATTTATATGATTAACGTGTAAGCCACACTTCTAGTCTGGGAGATATAAATACGGCCGAGGAGACTTTCCACCAGTTACAATTCTTCCAATATTAAGAGATTAATTGGAATGGCGTTCTACATTAATTTAAAATAATGCAAGAGCGAAAGATATATTTATATCGATGAAAACAAGTTTTTGGATATAGTTTCAGCCGAATTTCCTAATCATCGCTCACGCATTTACTGACTCAACCAAGGCTTTTCGGAATTTCTTAAAATAAGCGATCGATCCCTTTCCAAATTTTAGAATCTTTCTTGTGTAAATCAGTATTTGCTTAACGGATACTATCGCGTTCTATGACTCATACGCTTAATACAGCGGTGCGTAACGCGATATTGCACGCGTGCTACCACGTGCGATTAATGGCATTGTATATACGGGTTGTCTTATGCGGATAGTTAAAGGTTAAATCAATTAAAGATATTGTAACTCACGTCCATTCGTCGTCATTATAATTGAACTACAAACGGTAAGTTGACAAGCTCCTTGCGATATAACGGTAAATATTTCTTCTAACTTGTATTCTATATAAATGTTTCTCTCTTTTCATTTCTGTAATATGTAATGTATATTAATCGTTAAGTAATCACTAAACGAATCACTATTAATATTTTCTGTATTACTGAAATGAAAAGATAAAAAAAAAGGAGAGAAGCATTCAGTGACATAGAATAAAAATTAGAACAAGTTCAATCTTGAATTAATTTTTCATTCCGAAAGCCAAGTTTAGCCTGCAGGAACTTGTTTTTATAGCGGATATGGGTAAGATGTATGATCCGGATAGAGAATACCATTACCTCATCCTGTGTTTTTTGTCACATTCGTAGCTACGTGTCCATAATTTGGCGAACGAAACCGGTCTCCGAATCGGATAAATTCTCTATTGTTGAAATGCACGCAAGCGCGCTTTCATCACGTTTCTTCGAAATCTTTCCTCTTAGGTGATAAAAAATGATTTTCATTATTAATAGAAATGTGAATTCGGAGCTAATCCAGATTGCCGTATTAACAATGATATATATTTTGGCTAAATGTCGATAAAATACGAAGGTAATGATGAAATTATTATGTCTGATATTTCGAATTACGCACAGTCGGTCCGCTGATTAATAATGCGTTAAATAATGCGTTTCGAAAAATTATATAAGATGTTAAATATTAATTTCGCGATATATTGTCCATCGCGATTTATTATATTATTTATTAATATTATTTATTATATTAACATACGCACGTTTATGAAGTGAAAAGTATAAGACATAAAATTAAGTACAAAAAATTTATATCTCAACTTAAGAAAATTTCGCGATTTTCTCAATTTGATAATTTCCGAGTCAGACAATGAATATGTTAAGTATTATAAATAAAATATTAATTTATTTCATTAGATATAATTTATGATGTATTGTTTTACATTTTGTAGAGCTCTGATGGAGTAAATAATGAAAAGACATTAATATGACAGACGTTTTCAGGTTTACAGCTTGCATTAAAAGTATGTCGAAATGTCGACATATCTTTCGTGACTTCCTATATTGAAATGTTTAAGGCTTTTGTTATGTCACGCCGCAAGTAGCGCAGTCACGTTCGTCAGTGCATCGGTGCATAATGCGTACGATATTGTCACTAAAAATCGCTCTCGAATATCGAACATGTCGAAACATCGAAAGTATTTTCGCCCTTTGACATCTCACAAATTCTAATAATTCTGACAGATGAGAAAAGCAAGAATGCAGTCATGGCAAATATCTATACACATGAAACCTGTCAAACCGAAGATGAAGTAAAAAGTAAAGAAAATTCATGAAGTTATCAACTAAGAAGTTCATGAAGAGTGGATCAGTTTGAGACACTTATATATCGAAGTATTACGTATGCGTATTAAGGTCACATTGCATTTTCTGCGGACGTGTGCATTCTTCGTCGATGTCCGACTTCGAGCACATTAAGCATATAAATGAAGAATCTACTCGGAGAAAAAATAGTTTGACTGTATCAAAATTCTGTTTTAAAACGAACAAATCAGAAATTTCGGTTAAAGTTATCAGATTTAAACAAGACTTTCAATTAATTTAAACAGAAATCTGATAATTTCAAGTTTTGAAATTTTTTATTTGTTCATCTTGAAAAACAGAATTTTGCTACAGCCAATCAAACTATTTTTTTTCTGTATACTCCAGGTTATACACATTCAGATGCAGACGTATTTGGCGAAAAACCGTGCGTGTATTTTTTGTTAGGGACTGAAATAATTTCTTTCCCCCTCGAGGTCTAATTGGAATCATTTGGACATTCTCGGAATTGAAGATCGAAACTGGTACTCCGAATTTTTCTTGCGCACTTCAATACGATACGCAGTTTGAATAAATGCATTCGGTCGGCCTTCGGTTTATAAAGTTGCAACATAAAGTTGCACGCGATTACACATGTCTCGGACTCGCGAGCGACATTAATATCCACGCCAATTGTCGTTGTATCGAGATATCTTAAAGTTTTCAGTATCGTTCCGTAAATTTCGACGGATCGTCAAAAGTCAATTATTATTAGCGCTGAGGCGGCGCGGTATTTACGCTTCATTCCGCGCTCTCGATCAAAGGTTAATAGCATTTTGTTAATTACGAGAGCTGACAGCGCGCGAAGATGCGAATTTCGATTGCCGCGAGTGAATTTTACAATTAACAGCTAATGTTTAAAAGATGAAATCAGCGTACGCGCGATAAATAATACACACCGCGATCGGTGCAACCTGTCAACATCAGTTTGTCAATGAGTCTGAAATTAGCCGTTCGTCACCTATGATCCACCTGATTAAAAATATACCGGAGGATTATTTATTTTTAGTTATTTATATATTCATTTGCATGATTCATCCTTTGCTCCGGCAACAAATATCAAGTAATGAAACTAAAATCTACAATTTATCGCGTCCTCTTGCGAAGAGCATAAATCTTCACCTCTTTAGCATTTTATATCAATATCATAAAATAAGATTTTATTCTTGCAAAATATATTTTTGCGGCTAAGTGGCGAAAGGCCAAATTAAGTTTCTCAATTTTTGTTACGAAATAGATATTCCTGTCATACAAAAGAGTAATGGTTCTGTTATCACTTACCATAGTGCGGATTCGTGTGATGCGCTTTCGGCCTGTCATCATTCCATACATCTTTCTCGGTGTCGAGCGTGTAATTGCCGAGACTGCTGATCAGCTCGACAAAAGTGAAGTTCTTAGTCGTGTCGGTCTTGTTGGGCGCGAGTACACGAAGTATGTCTTCCTCCTCGAAGGTGCCGAGACTATTCGAGGATGTCAAAACGTCCACCGGGGACTCGGCATGCAACAAACCAATCAGACTGAAAATCGTCCAAATCCTCACAAACGTTCCCATTACTCCCCTCGAAACGAGCGTGTCGGGCCGAGAATTTCACGCAAAATTAACGAACTGTTCAATTTTTTCGTGTCGCGATTTCGTGAGCTTCTTTCAAGAAACGACCGACTCGTGAACGATCAGTCGTGGATCATGCTCGCACTTGCGCGATCGTCATAGCTTCACTGTAGCCTCGATGGGATTTTCGTTCGATCCGAAATCACCGGAGATGCTCTCTCGGAGGAAGAATCGTGATTAGATTCGTGATGTGGGACTCGTTCGATCTGATGACGAGAGAGAGCCACGCCGAGTTGCTGTATCGAATGTATTCGTGATCTCCCGAATTGCCCGGCTGTTCGAAGGCGAGCTTTACGAGTGATCGCGACTCGATCGCGTGACGACGAAGTCACCTGTGCCACCTTGCCGATAGGGAGGCCGAGAAGAGGGGTGGATACCATACCGCTCTCGTCGTTCTCTCCCACTCTCTCGGTTTCGAGGACCTCGCGTCAAAAAAAAAAAAAATAAGAGTATATAGGTGTAACTGCGTGAAGGAGTCGCTTATAGATCGACGGGACTGTGCTCAGGAAGACGAGAGAAGGACCATGAAATATTCAAACTAAAATTCTAAGAATATTCGAATTGTCAATTTGCACCCACCATCGTATCAGTCAATTTTTTACTCGACTGAATTTTGACACGGGAACAATTTATAAAAACTTGAAGATAATTTGATATTTTGACAGATCCGAGATAAAAGAAAAGGGCTCCGAGAATTTTTGTATAATTAATTTAGATCGATCAAATTCTCCGGCGAATTTCACAGTAATCATTAACAAGTAATAATTGTTATTGTTATTTGTCGCATACCGTTACACACATGTTATGTATTAAAGAAAAAAGATGTTTTAAAAATAGCGTTGCACGCCTCTGCGGCGTATACTTGAAAGTGTCGAAGTGACGAGTTCAGGGTCAGTTTGAGAAAGTGAATCGTACATTTGAGGATTGAGGAATGTTTTTAAGGAAAATTTATGTAAGAAGTCGCACAATTTCCAAAGGCTGTCGATGAAAAGGAGCTATAGAATTACGCTCCAACGAAGCGCGCCCGTCCCATCCTTAACGAAGTGTCGTTATGACAAAGGCACATTTAGATTCGATATCGTTCTATGCGGCAGCGATCAATTAAAATTCGACGGTGGTTTAGCGTAGTCATTCATAAGCGAGACATTGCTGATGACTCGAGATCAGCTTGCAATTAAAACTCATCCTTGAGGCATTACCGTCTTTGTTAACTGAGTACATTTTCTGTTAAGTTACGGCCTTGGAAAACAACGATTATCACCGGAGTCTGATCGTTTCATTATGTAAGGCGTGGAGAACAAAAGAAACTATTTTCGTTAAATGTTCAATCTTTAGAAAAGAAAATGCGAAAATTTTTTTATCTCGCGCTCGACGCAACGAAAAGACTTGTCTTACGGTAACGAAAGGAGATCAATTTTGTCAACCGACATCGTTCGAAATATGCTGCCTTTGCTGTTCATGACGATGTTGTACATCGTGAACATTCTGCTGACGCATGCATACGATAATAATCAATTAATAAAAAAAAAATCTGCTCTATATTTAGCGAAAACAATCTAAGGCGGTACAATAGATGTGAGCACGATATTTATTCTTTTTTTCTTTTTTCCCGATCCCTTCCGGTTTAGCACAAGTTCGCCTTGCTTTCAACGCGAATTTAATTAATAATATAGAGGTCGGTTCACGAGTGTGTGCAGCAATCTAATTATCATAGTATTAGAAAATATGCTGCAATATCTCACGTTATTAACATATTAGACTGTCGCGCACGTTTATTATTCCCGCTATTAGGAGCGTTAGAAATTATTGTATGCAAAAGCCCATTTCATTCGCTTTCGTAATCTCGATACGCACCGAAAGCACATGACGTCGCTATAAAAAAGATTCTAGCCTAATGCAAAGATTATCTTGACGACGATCGATGCGGCCTTGGATGTTGCTCCGGGTATTCGACCTGTGCGGTAGTCGGCTCTTGATCGCCACTAAATAATTCGGATGGACCTCCTCTCATCTTTTCCCAGAAATTGACCACCAATTTCGCAAACCTGAACTAGGCTCTTTAATAATTGTCAGACAGTAGAGATTAATGACACGTCACATACGCGCACACACATCGCAAGGATATCCTGCGTTTCAAGATCTTTTCTGGCAATGCCCCGAAATTCTTGCCATTTCGTATATTAATCATCTCGCTTACAGTTTGCATAGCTGTATCTTTTCTCCACTTACGAAGTTTTGCTGCTTTCGTAGGCTAATTAACTCTTGACACGTGCCACTATCGCCACAATGCTATGCATTTGCGCAGGCATCTTGTAATCGAGATACTACAATCCAATTCGGGACACAGAAATTCGGACCATCATTTACAAAAGTAGTTCTCACAACTGTTTATTATTCGATTATTCCAATGAATTCATTATATTCGCGCGAAATATTATTCCTTCGTTTATTTTTTAAAATGGAAACGGCATTTTAATAAATTGCCGGAGGCAAAATTTTCAAATGATATACAAACTTCTTATTATCACGTACCTAATACATTTAAAATTTACATTTTATGTAAATTCTAAAATTTAAAATATTTTAAATATTACAAAATCGGCATATTAATTAATGATTTGTTTTATTAATAATTTGACATATTCTTTAAGACTGGGAAAAAAAAGATTTTTTTATAAGAGCCAAATATATTTCCGTTACTATTATTGGTTTTTCTTTGTTGCAATTCACAAGCACAAGTAAAAGATTCCATTCCAAGTTTATTCTTTTTTCGAGAGTTAAATAATCTTACGTTATGAAAACGGTAAACTTGCATTTGCTAAATCTTATTCAAATTGATGCAAGACTTAGTGAGCACGTTGCACGAGTCTCTACGCACTTTGCTTGTACAAAACAGTTTCAAAGGCGTCGTACACATCGCGTGTACATCTGATTGGGGCTCGAGTATTCTCCTAGGCAAACGTGTGAATCGTAATAGTGACACTGGGTCGGGGACCCTCACGAGTTGCATTCCTTACGACGTTCTCGTTGCAACATTGCGACGTTTGCCACGCCGTTAGTTTCTCGTTGACTACGGCATCTTTTCACTCTTAAAAGAGAAGCATGTCAAATCGGATTTCATCGTCGTTTTTTTTTTGCGATACTAATTGATTCTTTCGCTGTATATATGATATATTTTATACTGTGAATGACTTCTTGACAATTTAAATAGCGAAAGGATCCAAGGTCGAAAATTTTGAAGGTTTGATATTTGTTTGTCATAAGAAGAATTGTAACATGATAGCCTTGAATTTTTACACGTGTTAACTTGTACTATAAGTCGCTATCGTCGCAAAAATCACAAATATTTCGACAGTTTAGATAAAAAACTAGGAATTAATAGCCGCGTGAACAATTTTATTCATTAAAAATAAATTTGATATCTATCTTTGATAAACGAACATTTCGTTATTGTGTGTACTTTGCACCGCATTTCGGAATATTTATAATAAATTATTCGTAAATAAAATCAAAAGAGAGATCCAAAATCTTCAACTTTCCACGAACGTAATTAAAATGTAGAAAAAAATTTACATCTCATCGCAATTTACGACAGTCGTTACGCAATATCCATGCAACATTTAGACATATAATAAATTACAAAAATACCGATTGAGTCATAAATAATTATCCGAATGTATAAATTTTTAGGATTTTCAATTTTTATTAATCTTTGTATAACGCAATTGGAAATACGCAATAAAAATAATTTTTGATACAGTGAAACAATCGCGCACATGTTGCATTCTACTATTTTTAAAGAGGTCTTATTTGTATAGAATATTCAAATCCGAATCGCGATCTAGCTTTATTTCATAGATTAAATTGTTTATACGTTGTTACGCTAATGTAAATCTCGTTTATACGATGCAAATTATGTTATGATTTGGCAAACATTTTGTCAAGCAAGCGCATTGCGTGTCTAGGAAACTGGTCTTGTAAACAATTGTTTCAGTTACCATGGAGCCGTTTAAAAATTTGTTATAAAATTGAGAGAGTTCTCTGTGAGATTTCGATTATCTTCTGAAGAATTAATGCAAATTAGTACTAGATTTATACACTTTTAGATTAATGCTGTGAAACTTACAATAATTTATCTTTAATAAGAGTGTAAGTATAAAATCCAAATTTGCTCACTAAACAACAACAACAATATTAACTAAAAAGTACAAGTCGTGAATTCTCCCATTTCTACACTGAACATTTCAATAGCGTTCAATAAACTTCTTAATTATTGCGCGCTCACGCATAATAATTACAAATTGGCAGGTACAAAAATAATTTATCAATTGCTCACGTCACGGGCGGATCGCGTGACATATTACGTCAATCGTAAGCTACTGCAAGTTAAACGAATTGTGCACGCGGCTGACTTGCTCGCACATTACTTCCGTTGTATCATAATCTTTATTAACGACTGTACAACGAACAGTCCTTACTTTATTATGTGACACCGGGTAATTCCCTCGTCATATCGCGATTCTTGTTATACCATATCAATTTACTTGTGCGAAGTAAAGATGTTTAACTTAATTGCAATTACACTATTAATTCAGTTGCGCCATTAATAGAAATTGCTAAACATTAAAGATTTTTATAAGCAGATATTGTCTCGTGCCTCTGGCGAGGAAATCATTTATCATAAGTAATGACCTCACGCTACTTATATTATCAATGTGTCATTAAGTTAAATCAATTAAAGATAATCGAACAGATAAATATAATTTATTTTCCCAATTATAGGTTTCTTAGCACAGTTTCTTAACTATATAAGTTTCTACTTATAGTATTGCAATTATTTTGCAAATTAATAATGCAATTATCATTTTTTTTATTTATTGCGTTATTTGGATCTATCTAAAAATTAAAATTGAAGATTAGATATAAGATTTTGAATATACTCGCATATTGCTCGTTTCAATTGCGGTTATTTAAGGATTTGTTTTAATTATACAATATCAGCAAAAAGTCATATGTATGTACATATGTACATATATTGAAAACTCAATAATTTTTAAAACTTTTAGCATATATTTGGATTTTCTTTTGTTTAGTTTTTTTTTAAGTGATTTTAGATAAAATAATTAAGTATTTCTAATAACTAATAATATTTTGTATGTTCTTAATTTTCTATTGTTAAAAATCTATTAATAATACATCTTGTATATAAATTTTATTATTCTTTAATTCTTATTTACTCCAGAAATTTTTCAACAGCTGAATTTAATTAATATTTTTACAATAAGCTATGTAAGCAATATATTTTTTATATTGCTTTTAAAATTTACAACACTTTTATATAATTGTTTGTCAATATTCATAAGAAATTATAATAACTATAAATTGCAATAATTTCCAAAGAGTGAATCATGTCGAAAGAGTAAATCATGTCATTTAGT